CACAACGTCCTTCCAGAATATGTGAATAGCATGTTATTCTCATTAATGGCACCACATCCTTCCAGAATATGTGAATAGCATGTTATTCTCATTAATGGCACCACATCCTTCCAGAATATGTGAATAGCGTGTTATTCTCATTAATGGCACCACATCCTTACAGAAAATGTGAATAACATGCTATTCTATTTGATGACACAACATCCTTACAGAATATGTGAATAGCATGTTATTCTCATTAATGACACCACAACCTTCCAGAATATGTGAATAGCATGTTATTCTCATTAATGACACCACAACCTTCCAGAATATGTGAATAGCGTGTTATTCTCATTAATGGCACCACATCCTTCCAGAATATGTGAATAGCGTGTTATTCTCATTAATGGCACCACATCCTTCCAGAATATGTGAATAGCATGTTATACTCATTAATGGCTCCAAGTTCTTACAGAATATGTGAATAGCATGTTATTCTCATTAATGGCTCCACGTCCTTACAGAATATGTGAATAGCATGTTATTCTCATAAATGGCTCCACGTCCTTACAGAATATGTGAATAGCATGTTATTCTCATAAATGGCTCCACGTCCTTACAGAATATGTGAATGGCATGTTATTCTCATAAATGGCTCCACGTCCTTACAGAATATGTGAATAGCATGTTATTCTCATTAATGGCTCCACGTCCTTACAGAATATGTGAATAGCATGTTATTCTCATAAATGGCTCCACGTCCTTACAGAATATGTGAATAGCATGTTATTCTCATAAATGGCTCCACGTCCTTACAGAATATGTGAATGGCGTGTTATTCCCATTGATGACAACACACATATACATGGCCCGTCTACCGGCGACACCTCATGCTCAAGGAATATGTGAATAGCATGGGTTACGCTACAGGTCACATCATTCATTAGCGGTCAAGTTCATGGAAAAGGTATGTACAGAGACATCCATCCCAGCTTAAACTCGAGTGGGATTGTGAGAAACATCAATAAGGTAAACAAATACCGTCATGGTTTCAAGGTGTGACACGAGCCAAAGGTCATTTTGCCAGCTGTGATGCTGACACTTAGCGCCGTCATTGAGAATGGAAATAGAAGCTCATTCTCTTGATGTGGTGAGACTTAACACCTACTGCAGGCGGTGAATGTGACTGCAGTACTTGATGGTGAGTTCGCTGTGACATTTGGCGTATATGTGTTATAATCCGGATTCTCCAGCTAATCCAGTAACCGGGAGCACACACACGGCTGAAGATCAGGAGCCCGGATGTGGGTCATGTCCACGTTTGTAGGTCACAGATGTGAGGGGCATCTGAATGGAAGACACTCTGGGTAGTTGTGGTGTTGTTTGGTGCTGGAATTAGTGTGTAGAGGACCTCTCCCCACAATCTGACAGGGATCTGACCATGTGGCTTTTGATGGCGAGTTTTGTTTCCACTGTGCAGGCTCCACGCTTACCCGCAAGTCTATATGTTCCATGTAGTTCCACGCCTAGCCTTGGAAACCCAAGTCTGTATGTTCAAATTGGCTCAGTGTTTACTCTTGGAAACCCAAGTCTGTATGTTCCATGTAGCACCATGTCTACCCTGGGAAACCCAAGTCTGTGTGTTCCACGCAGCGACACGCCTACCCGGGGAAACTAAAATGTATATGTTCCATGTTCCACGTCTAAACCCAAGTAAATATGTTCAAACTGGCTCCATATCTACAATGGGAAACCCAAGTCTGTATGTTCCATGTAGCAACACGTCTACCCTGGGAAACCCATGTCTGTATGTTCAATGTAGCACCACGTCTACCCTGGGAAACCCAAGTCTGTATGTTCCATGTAGCAACACGTCTACCCTGGGAAACCCATGTCTGTATGTTCAATGCAGCACCACGTCTACCCTGGGAAACCCAAGTCTATATGTTCCATGTAATACCACGTCTACCCTGGGAAACCCAAGTTTGTATGTTCCATGTAGCGCCAGGTCTATGCTGGGAAACCCAAGTCTGTATGTTCCATGTAGCACCACATCTATCCTGGGAAACTTAAGTCTATATGTTCCATGTAGCACCACATCTATCCTGGGAAACCCAAGTCTATATGTTCCATGTAGCACCACGTCTATCCTGGGAAACCCAAGTCTGTATGTTCCATGTAGCACCACGTCTACCCTGTGAAACCCAAGTCTGTATGTTCCATGTAGCACCACGTCTATGCTGGGAAGCCCAAGTCTATATGTTCCATGTAGCACCACGTCTACCCTGGGAAACCCAAGTCTGTATGTTCCATGCAGCACCACGTCTACCCTGGGAAACCCAAGTCTGTATGTTCCATGTAGCACCACGTCTATGCTGGGAAGCCCAAGTCTATATGTTCCATGTAGCACCCCGTCTACTCTGGGAAGCCCAAGTCTGTATGTTCCATGTAGCACCACGTCTACCCTGGGAAACCCAAGTCTGTATGTTCCATGTAGCACCACGTCTATCCTGGGAAACCCAAGTCTGTATGTTCCATGTAGCACCACGTCTATCCTGGGAAGCCCAAGTCTATATGTTCCATGTAGCACCACGTCTACTCTGGGAAGCCCAAGTCTGTATGTTCCATGTAGCACCACGTCTATCCTGGGAAGCCCAAGTCTGTATGTTCCATGTAGCACCCCGTCTACTCTGGGAAGCCCAAGTCTATATGTTCCATGTAGCACCACGTCTACCCTGGGAAACCCAAGTCTGTATGTTCCATGTAGCACCACGTCTACCATGGGAAACCCAAGTCTATATGTTCTATGTAGCACCACGTCTATCCTGGGAAACCCAAGTCTGTATGTTCCATGTAGCACCACGTCTATCCTGGGAAACCCAAGTCTGTATGTTCCATGTAGCACCACGTCTATCCTGGGAAACCCAAGTCTGTATGTTTCATGTAGCACCACGTCTATCCTGGGAAACACAAGTCTGTATGTTTCATGTAGCACCACGTCTATCCTGGGAAACACAAGTCTGCGTGTTCCACGTAGCGCCACGCCTACCCGGGGAAACTAAAATGTATATGTTCCATGTTCCACGTCTAAACCCAAGTTAATATGTTCAAACTGGCTCCATGTCTACAATGGGAAACACAAGTCTGTATGTCCCATGTAGCACCACGTCTACCCTTGGAAACCCAAGTCTGTATGTTCCATGCAGCACCACGTCTACCCTGGGAAACCCAAGTCTGTATGTTCCATGCAGCACAACGTCTATCCTGGGAAACCCAAGTCTGTGTGTTCCATGTAACAACACGTTTACCCTGGGAAACCTAAGTCTGTATGTTCCATGTAGCACAACGTCTACTCTGGGAAACCCAAGTCTGTATGTTCCATGCAGCACCACGTCTACTCTGGGAAACCCAAGTCTGTGTGTTCCATGTAGCACCACGTCTACTCTGGGAAAAACAAGTCTGTATGTTCCATGTAGTACCACGTGTACCCTGGAAAACCCAAGTCTGTATGTTCCATGCAGCACCACGTCTATCCTGGGAAACCCAAGTCTGTGTGTTCCATGTAACAACGCGTTTACCCTGGGAAACCTAAGTCTGTATGTTCCATGTAGCACAACGTCTACTCTGGGAAACCCAAGTCTGTATGTTCCATGCAGCACCACGTCTACTCTGGGAAACCCAAGTCTGTATGTTCCATGTAGCACCACGTCTACTCTGGGAAACACAAGTCTGTATGTTCCATGTAGTACCACGTGTACCCTGGGAAACCCAAGTCTGTATGTTCCATGTAGCACCACGTCTACCCTGGGAAACCCAAGTTTGTATGTTCCATGTAGCGCCAGGTCTACCCTGGTTCCACACGTAGTATCCATGTAGGGGATCGAACCTGGGTAGTCGGTCTAAAGGGCGAACACTTTACCCACTAGGTTACGCCAACAACCAACTTGAAGATGTAGCGACAGTACACACACAGCACTGATGCTAGCAAAGATGTTGCTGTAGATTCAGAAACCAACCTCATCGACTGAAAGTCTGGAAAATCTGGACCAGACAATCCAGTGATTAATATCATGAGCATCGAGCCACGCAATTGTGATCGATGACATGTATCAACCAAGTCAGCGAGCCTGACCACCCGATCCCGTTAGTCGCCTCTTACGACAAGCATAGTCGTCTTTTACGGCAAGCATGGGTTGCTGAAGACCTATTCTACCCCGGATCTTCACTCGGTTGGTTGAAGCAAGTCGCTCGTTCAATATTATTCTTGCGAACAATAGGGCACTCCCCTTTAATGATATACCGATACAGGAAGCCAGTCTTTGAAATAGGCATCGGCCCGTAGCCCCGACAGATTTGTTCTCTGGCTGATAAATTCAGAAATTTAAATTTCCAAGTAAGGGTTGCTGAAGACCTATTCTACCCCGGAATCTTCACGTGTCCAACTGAAAGTCATCTGTTTCAGTGCTTATCAAATAAACACCTGAGATATTTTACATCACCGCAGATATGGCTCGACATGCTTTTTCAACACCGAGAGCCATAACCCCCATTCGTGTAGAACACACAGTGACATTCATTACCACGGAATGTGGAAATCCGTGAATGACAATGGCCGCCATGTTTACGCAAGACATGCTGTTGACAATAGAGCTACGGAAGCCACGCTCCATCTCGCGGCCGCTCCGTATCGCACAATCGGGGCATTCTTGATGGCCACACAGGTATACTATCACATGTCATATTTTATACCATATACAAAGCATGCATCAAGGGGGGTCCAGATCATGTTTGGAACGTCCTCTGACAAACATAGAGATGGTTGATGGCTGTGTTTTTACTGTCCTACAACTTTATATATGGCCTGTCTCAGTACGGAGTATGGAGTTTCAATACGTACCGACATAAACTTGCAGATAGGACGTATGTGCTGTTGGCAAATTCAGGCCTCAACAAGGAAACGCTTTGTGTTATTTAGTGTTGACATTGTTCGTGAAGATAGTTCATATATGTATTTCTGGATGTGCTTAGGACACACAACAGCGGCTCCAGGCACGGCCAGAGGACACAACACAGCGGCTCCAGGCACGACCAGAGGACACAACACAGCGGCTCCAGGGACGACCAGAGGACACAGCGGCTCCAGGCAAGACCAGAGGACACATCAGAGCGGCTCCAGGCACGACCAGAGGACACAACACAGCGGCTCCAGGGACGACCAGAGGACACAGCGGCTCCAGGCAAGACCAGAGGACACATCAGAGCGGCTCCAGGCACGGCCTGAGGACACACCACAGCGGCTCCGGGCACGACAAGAGGACACACCACAGTGGCTCCAGGCACGGCCAGAGGACACACCACAGAGGCTCCAGGGACGACCAGAGGACACACCACAGCGGCTCCAGGGACGACCAGAGGACACACCACAGAGGCTCCAGGGACGACCAGAGGACACACCACAGCGGCTCCAGGGACGACCAGAGGACACACCACAGAGGCTCCAGGCATGACCAGAGGACACATCGGAGCGGATCTCAGAACGGCCAGAGGAAACACCACAGAGGCTCCAGGCACGGCCGAAGGACACACCACAGCGGCTCCGGGCACGACAAGAGGACACACCACAGAGGCTCCAGGCACGGCCAGAGGACACATCAGAGCGGATCTAAGAACGGCAAGAGGACACACCACGGCGGCTCCTGGCACGACCAGAGGACACACCAAATCGGATCCAGGCACGACCAGAGGACACACCACAGCAGATCGTGCCACATTAGATCGCCCATGCCCGTACAAGGGCGAGTGTGTTTGGTGGGGAACAGTATTACATCACGCTCCGTCAGCGTGGGATGAATGCCCGAAGAGATGCATGTCTCAAACTTGAATAGACACGGTGAAGCGAACCGCAGGTGTATGGTGCTGACAAACCACATACATAATCAAGGCGAATCTGGGATTCGAACTCAAGGATCATAGGTTGCTGACACGTCTAAGGGACGCAACTCTACACAGCGAAACCACTGGGGCACACGTGTCACTAAAAGAAAACAAACCGTGCAGTATATGAACGGATAGAAAGGATGCGGAACAAGATAAATGTCACATCTATCTAATGCCATATAACACATCTATACGCAGGGACCGCCTCCGTGGTCTTGTGGTAGAGCGACCGCCCGGAAAGCGGAAGGTCCGGGGTTCGATCCCCGGCCGCGTCATACCAATAGACGTTAAAAGATGGTACTTGTTGTTACCCTGTCTGGTGCTCGGCAAGGGGCTAAAACAAGGACTGGTCGGCTCGGAGTCAGTATACTGTGTCTGAGTGGGGTGTTTATGTTTAACTGCGGCATGGTATCTCAGTGAGCTAGCACTATAAATGGGCATCACACACACACACACACACACACACACACCTGCTATATAAGTGCAATAATCTTGGGCGCGTCTTTCAACCTCTATACGCAGGAGACTTCGCACTACATAATGTTAGGCAAACTATACTGAGATGTTTGCAGATTATAAAGATGTATATGACCTACATTCGTCAAAGACAACTTATGTGGACAGTTTCAACGCTTTTAAAGATGGATTTCCCCAACCCCTAACACCACTGCCATCAGTTAAAGAGCTGTGGTCGAGCAACAGGAATCTGGTGTATCAACGTTCCTCAGTAAGGTAGAACATCACCGAGTATTTATGTGCTCTATATTAAATGCATTTCACAGCCGACCTACGAAGCGATACTCATAACAACCAGGATGATCCACCACGCAACGCCAGTTCTATAGTTTCGGGGTCGAACCCGCCAGATTCATATCAGTGGTGCTCCACAGCATGTTAAAGTATTTGTAATGGAGATTAGTGGGGAAAAGAAATTCTCTTTCAGATAAGGGTAACTTTTTTTCAGCTGTTGCTCGCAACATGCGTCAAAGTTTTCCGCCCGTACGTTTAAGTTTAGAATATTTCCCTTTGAAGTTCACTTCAACTCCTATACATATTTCGTCTCTTTGAAAACACATGACACGAGAGTGACACATTGCGTTTTTTCAAGAATAGTTTGGGCGAAACGTACACCTGAATAATTTTGTGATTTATAAAATGATTCGTCCAAGTATTTATTCCAAACACACGTCCAATTGAAGCCTTGTATATTCAGGGCAGTCAGCGGTGATGCTTGTTGTAACGGTATATCACTGAATTAATATACATTGCTTTACGTCGCATGAGCGATTGTACAGCTATTGTTTAGCACGGGCAACATAGTGACCGCGAGAACGTGGGTGTTATTTCAAACTCAGATAGACATCCTAGAGATATGCACATCCGATGTTTATTAACGATGCGAGTCCATCAGCAGCCCCGACTTTTACCGGGTAGGGCTTACTGTCACGTGATTTGAATAGCCAATGGGAAGGACATACCCATATATGGACCAGTGTCGAATTCTGTTTTGTTTTGACAGCGGACTGAATCATAAGTAAAATATACAATGAACACAACGTAATGCACTTAAAACGAAATATGAATTATATTTTTGACGAGCAGCAGTTTTTTACGAGTTTGATGTTTACTTATATTATTATTTTATGATATATTAAGTCTGTTATTTCAGTTTATCTGAATCGCAGCAGGTACCCTGTCAATATCAAGTACACAGTCTTCATTCGTGTTTTGAGTGCTTTTGACAGGTAACGTTTCGGCCGGACACAAATAACTCTACATATACGATAAATGGATCATATTTAGTTACACATGAATTTGCTAGATTTATAAAAACCTTCGAACACAAATTAGCAATGAACGTTCTTACCTGTATGTGTACAAGAGGATTGCACAGGTGATGTGGCGACTTGAGGAGCAAGTCAGATAAAGATTGTTACACCTGTAATTAAGCTTGCGAGGTAAGACACAGCCAGGGAGCAGTGTTGAGAGCTTGTGTCAATACATCGTGGTGAAGTGATAACGTTCAGAACATACTGGTAGGCAGCTACACCCGGAAGGTAAACATGGTGATGTGAGGAGTTTGAAGGTCAGGGTAAAGATGTGTGTAGAATAAAATGAAGAGGTTGGAGAGCGACAGCTACAATAAGAGTGACAGTTTTCTTCACTGCAATTAGGGTGAAATAATGAGTCAGACTGTTTTCTCAAAATGTGTACAGATTCGAACCCGGGTGTCAGTTTAATGTTGGAGGAAAGCCCAAAGTGATGCAGGTCTTAGACGTTTACCACTTTGGTGAAATCCTGACCGCGGATATGGTGCTGACGGACCTAGCAAAACACTAGCATACGTTCCTGGCACGCCTAAGGGACGCAACTCCACACGTCGACGCGGCGCCTTAACGACGGCAATCTGTACTCCCCACTGCTACCACAACATTTTTGTTTGTTTGTTTAACATCGCACTAAGCAATATTTCAGCTATATGGCGGCGGTCTGTAAATAATTGAGTCTGAACCAGTCATGAGCATCGATCTACACAATTAGGATACGATGACATGCATCAACCAAGCCAGCGAGCCTGAGCCCCTAGTCGCCAACAAACAAACAAAACAAACAAACCCACCCACTCACTCACTTATACAGACGGAGGCCTAGTTTCAACAGCTGACATTATAAACAAGATGTATGTTTCCCAATTTGGAATCGCAGCGTCAAGAATCCTGTTTAAACAGTGGTAAGTAAATTCCAGACGAGGGGTGACGATAGTAGAATGTTAAACAAGACGGTCTGACCTGTTAACTATTGGCGACACGGGGGACGAATCTGCCGAGCAAATATCATTAGAGCACAACTCTAGTAGCAAAACATGTTTACTTGTGTGATAGTTTGTCCAGGAAGAATCCACATCTCAAGATAGTCCGCGGTAGAGATATAATCTGGATTTTTCAGAATTGATAACTTTAGAAACTTTTTTAAATTAACTGCATTATTATTCAAGGTACACACATCCAAGGGATGTAGATGCACGTAACATGTTTTGTTTATTCTAGTTTATAATTAATTGCTGCACGACATTATGATCAAGGGTTGGCGCACAACTCTCACATGTCACATCTATATATATATATTTGACATTCATTTCATTTGGATAAATGCCAACGATAACACCGTTACCTGAAGAAAACTGCATGCTTCTCAAGATGCTGGCCTATAACTAGCATAGTAACTTATTTTGTGTAATATATATATATATATATATATTCCCGATTCTTTCCTATTGCAAAAGTTAATCTGTCATCGTATTACAGAACACCCGATTCTTTCCTATTGCAATAGTTAATCTGTCATGGTATTACAGAACACCCGATTCTTTCCTTTTAATATTGCAATAGTTAATCTGTCATGGTATTACAGAACACCCAATTCTTTCCTTTTAATATTGCAATAGTTAATCTGTCATGGTATTACAGAACACCCAATTCTTTCCTTTTAATATTGCAATAGTTAATCTGTCATGGTATTACAGAACACCCAATTCTTTCCTTTTAATATTGCAATAGTTAATCTGTCATGGTATTACAGAACACCCGATTCTTTCCTTTTAATATTGCAAGAGTTAATCTGTCATGGTATTACAGAACACCCGATTCTTTCCTTTTAATATTGCAATAGTTAATCTGTATTAGTATTACAGAACACCCGTTTCGTTCATTGTTCATATGCCGTGTCACATGTCAATAATTGTATGTTACAAAACATATTATATATTAGATAATTGATTTCAGTTTCAGTATTTCAATACGTGTATGTCATTGTGTGAACAAAAACATGTGTTTCATTCGGAAACTTAACACAGGATACGATTATTAAGAATGTTGTTTTTTGTAAATTATAGGAACCGAGATTGTAAACATCTATATATATATTTGACATTCATTTCATTTGGATAAATGCCAACGATAACACCGTTACCTGAAGAAAACTGCATGCTTCTCAAGATGCTGGCCTATAACTAGCATAGTAACTTATTTTGTGTAATATATATATATATATATATATTCCCGATTCTTTCCTATTGCAAAAGTTAATCTGTCATCGTATTACAGAACACCCGATTCTTTCCTATTGCAATAGTTAATCTGTCATGGTATTACAGAACACCCGATTCTTTCCTTTTAATATTGCAATAGTTAATCTGTCATGGTATTACAGAACACCCAATTCTTTCCTTTTAATATTGCAATAGTTAATCTGTCATGGTATTACAGAACACCCAATTCTTTCCTTTTAATATTGCAATAGTTAATCTGTCATGGTATTACAGAACACCCGATTCTTTCCTTTTAATATTGCAATAGTTAATCTGTCATGGTATTACAGAACACCCGATTCTTTCCTTTTAATATTGCAATAGTTAATCTGTCATGGTATTACAGAACACCCGATTCTTTCCTTTTAATATTGCAATAGTTAATCTGTATTAGTATTACAGAACACCCGTTTCGTTCATTGTTCATATGCCGTGTCACATGTCAATAATTGTATGTTACAAAACATATTATATATTAGATAATTGATTTCAGTTTCAGTATTTCAATACGTGTATGTCATTGTGTGAACAAAAACATGTGTTTCATTCGGAAACTTAACACAGGATACGATTATTAAGAATGTTGTTTTTTGTAAATTATAGGAACCGAGATTGTAAACGACCAAATCAATGGTCGCAGATATTCGTATATAGGGACAATGAAAGACAAGGACAAAGATGAAATTTTAGTTCATAGGCCATAAACGATACACACAGAAAACAGTATTTCGCACAGCAAATATCATCTTATACGCATAGCTAAACCATTTTGTATGTAAGGATCGTGCATTTACAGCGCCTTTGTGAGTGGGTTGGTGAGTTTAGTCTCACGACGTTTTGGGCAATATACCAGCAATATCACGGAAGGGTACCCAAATTGGGCTTCACACATTGTCCCCATGTCGAAATATTGGATGCTAGCGATGTGACACAAACCACCTACCTCCACAAATGCAAAGTTCGATAAAATGAGTCAGGGTCCTATTCTTGACCTTTCTCTCTAGAACGAAGTTCATTTGTCTGTTCTATTTATAAGGATAGTCAACATCATATGACTATTCGAAAAGTCATAATATCAAAGCCCACATACTATGTACTCATTAGATAAGCGAAGCTAATAACGGAGGCATTTAAGTTTGTAAAGAGCTCCTTTAATCATAATCAAATACGTTAGAACCACTCACAAATAAAGCTCTGATGTTTCATGGAAAGTGTCCAGTACTTGGGACAAGGCGGTTGCAGAGGAAGGCGGTTGCAGAGGAAGGCGGTTGCAGGGGAAGGCGGTTGCAGAGGAAGGCGGTTGCAGAGGAAGGCGGTTGCAGAGGAAGGCGGTTGCAGGGGAAGGCGGTTGCAGGGGAAGGCGGTTGCAGAGGAAGGCGGTTGCAGAGGAAGGCGGTTGCAGGGGAAGGCGGTTGCAGGGGAAGGCGGTTGCAGAGGAAGGCGGTTGCAGGGGAAGGCGGTTGCAGGGGAAGGCGGTTGCAGGGGAAGGCGGTTGCAGAGGAAGGCGGTTGCAGAGGAAGGCGGTTGCAGGGGAAGGCGGTTGCAGAGGAAGGCGGTTGCAGAGGAAGGCGGTTGCAGGGGAAGGCGGTTGCAGAGGAAGGCGGTTGCAGGGGAAGGCGGTTGCAGAGGAAGGCGGTTGCAGGGGAAGGCGGTTGCAGAGGAAGGCGGTTGCAGGGGAAGGCGGTTGCAGGACAAGGCGGTTGCAGGGGAAGGCGGTTGCAGAGGAAGGCGGTTGCAGGACAAGGCGGTTGCAGGGGAAGGCGGTTGCAGGGGAAGGCGGTTGCAGAGGAAGGCGGTTGCAGGGGAAGGCGGTTGCAGGGGAAGGCGGTTGCAGGACAAGGCGGTTGCAGGGGAAGGCGGTTGCAGAGGAAGGCGGTTGCAGGACAAGGCGGTTGCAGGGGAAGGCGGTTGCAGAGGAAGGCGGTTGCAGGGGAAGGCGGTTGCAGGGGAAGGCGGTTGCAGGGGAAGGCGGTTGCAGGACAAGGCGGTTGCAGAGGAAGGCGGTTGCAGGGGAAGGCGGTTGCAGGGGAAGGCGGTTGCAGAGGAAGGCGGTTGCAGGGGAAGGCGGTTGCAGAGGAAGGCGGTTGCAGGGGAAGGCGGTTGCAGGGGAAGGCGGTTGCAGGGGAAGGCGGTTGCAGGGGAAGGCGGTTGCAGGACAAGGCGGTTGCAGAGGAAGGCGGTTGCAGAGGAAGGCGGTTGCAGGGGAAGGCGGTTGCAGGGGAAGGCGGTTGCAGGGGAAGGCGGTTGCAGGGGAAGGCGGTTGCAGGGGAAGGCGGTTGCAGAGGAAGGCGGTTGCAGAGGAAGGCGGTTGCAGGGGAAGGCGGTTGCAGAGGAAGGCGGTTGCAGGGGAAGGCGGTTGCAGAGGAAGGCGGTTGCAGAGGAAGGCGGTTGCAGGGGAAGGCGGTTGCAGGGGAAGGCGGTTGCAGAGGAAGGCGGTTGCAGAGGAAGGCGGTTGCAGGGGAAGGCGGTTGCAGGGGAAGGCGGTTGCAGAGGAAGGCGGTTGCAGGGGAAGGCGGTTGCAGGGGAAGGCGGTTGCAGGGGAAGGCGGTTGCAGGGGAAGGCGGTTGCAGGGGAAGGCGGTTGCGGGGGTGGTCGTGTGGTGGTGTGTGACATATACACTTTAATCACCTCAGAGTATCTTACACCATATCGGCCAAGAAGACATAGCTTATATCTGTCATCTGTGTTGAAACGGCATACTTTGATAATTTTACACGTAAACCAAAAGAACGATTTTTGTAAACGTCAAAAAGCTGATGTTAGAGTTAACATATAACATTTAAATCGACACATTTTGTGAAGTAAAACCAATGGCACGCTTCAATCTTTGATGAATGTTTACTCCTTAAAATATTCACTTTAAACACAGGAAAGTACACAGACACGTCTTAGTGGCTTCTATCTATCATGTATAAATTATGTGTTTTTGGAATGTTGTATTTTTGTATATTGAGGACCTGGGCCCACTTGCACAAAGCGATCTTAGCGCTAAGATGATCGTAACTCCCATACTTCAACATAGGCTTACAATAGTTGTAGCGCTAAGATCGCTTTGTGCAAGTTGGCCCTGCTGTTGGTTTCGTGTCGAAATATCACCAGTAAACCGTCTTCTTGTAAGGGTGGGGAACCCGCTATCAGAAAATATGCCGACTGTTTCTATATATACCTATCGAAGTGACTATTAATGTTTCTGAAAACATAGATATGCTGTAATGATATATAACAGCCAGAAACCAACATAAGCCCACCAGCCGCCTCCGTTGTCTTGTGGTAGAGCGTCCGCCCGCAGAGCGGAAGGTCCGGGGTTCGATCCCCGGCCGCGTCATACCAAAAGACGTTAAAAGATGGTACTTGTTGTTACCCTGTCTGGCGCTCGACATTAAGGGGCTAAAACAAGGACTTGTCGCCTCGGAGTCAGTATACTGTGTCCGAGTGGGGTATGCATGTTAAACTGCGGCATGGTATCTCAGTGAGCTAGCACTATAAATCGGCATCAGTCCGGACTAGAACAAGCAGCCACACATACACACGTGCATGCACGTCGCTATATAAGTGCAATAATCTTGCACGCGACGTTAAACCCAATTTCACCTCACCTCACCCACCAGTGATGTTTACTGCAGAACCGTATCCCTGCAATAATGTAGTGTAATACAAGGGAGGCAACTCTTGCTGATACATCTGTGTGATGCGCAAATAGGCCTGTTCTTTTTACTCGCACTAAACCCTACTACTGCTGCTGTTGCTGTTACTACTACTACTACCACCACCACTACTTCTACGTCTTCTACTACTGCGCGTTTCTCCGACCTCGTGTTATTCTTATTTTTCAATATTCGCCCTTTTGAACATACATCATTCCCCTCCTCGAATAAACAATTCAGAAATTGTTTTTTATAGTAAGCATATTCAAAGAAGGGAACGAACTCCGCCAATTGTTTTTCAAGCCCTCCGCATTTTCCGTCTTCTAATTTATCAACAAAGATAATAATATAATTCGACTATAATAATATTCCGAAGAATGAACGATAACTATTTTTTACATTTTTCTTGACCTGTAACAACATATCCTCTTAACATGTGTATTCTGAAAAATTAAGCCTGGGGGTGTGGTAGGGCTGTTGGTTTTTGAACAATGTACATGCAGAATCGGTGTCCCACCGGTGGCACATGTCACAAACACACGCAAAGGCTAGTCAATTGTTCACCTGAAAATACACGGGAACATATGGTACAGGTCAAAATAAGGCTTCTTACATCGAACATATTTTTTGTGTGATGCGTCAAATTTGGAAATATCCTCCACATCGCTACCATAAAACCTTTTGAAAGCTTTACTGGGGCCTTGAATGTTGTACCTTGATCAAACAACTTCTGAGCAAGAGTTGTATAACGCTTAATAAATCTTTGTAGAAAGAGCATGCTCGATTGTACCTCAGAAGTTGTGAAATGTGGACACCAAAGACTGAAGCTGATCGAATGTTGCTCGACATAAAGACAAAGTTGGCTACTGGAAAGTTGAAGTCATCGCTCTTGTTTTATAGTCTTGTAGAGATCAATAACTTACATTGATTCTGAATTAGGTTTCGCAACAAATACTCTATATGTATGTAGATGTTGGCCAAGGGATGGAAGGGTGTACAGAATTCTCCTTGTGAAAATGTGTTGATAAAAAATAATCAATGGAAAAAAAGAAGGAGAAAGTTTGTTGTCCGAGTGTTGGTTTAGTTGGTTTGTTGGATTGTTTTTTAACGCCGCTCTCAGCAATATTCCATCTGTATGGCGGCGGTCTGTAAATAATCGAGTCTTGACCAGACAATCCAGTGATTAATATCATGAGAATCGATCCAGGAAATTGGGATCGATGACATTTATCAACCAAGTCAGCGAGCCTGACCACCCGATCCCGTCAGTCGCCTCTTAAGACAATCATAGTCGCCTTTTACGGCAAGCATGGGTTGCTGAAGACCTATTCTACCCCGGATCTTCACTCGGTTGGTTGAAGCAAGTCGCTCGTTCAATATTATTCTTGCGAACAATAGGGCACTCCCCTTTAATGATATACCGATACAGGAAGCCAGTCTTTGAAATAGGCATCGGCCCGTAGCCCCGACAGATTTGTTCTCTGGCTGATAAATTCAGAAATTTAAATTTCAGCAGCCCCTTACGGCCAGCAGATTATTTAAGTAATTATTTACTAAGAATTGTTTGAGTAATCTGATCAACATAACTGTCATTGTTATAAACAATAGGATAAGACCTTTCAAATGGTGTATGACATGTAGTTGCAAAGTTGTTTTACAAGCTGATAATATCCTGATAACTGTAGGCTTTATCTATCACCACTTAGTCTCTAGTGAAACTCGGCGTTATAGCAGTAAAAGCTTCTGGAGGACTGGTTGTGTTTTGTAATTTAGTAATGGAGTATGTCCAGACAAACAGCTTAAATGTTTGGGTCTGCAATGTTTTCACTTGGCCTACAGTTTTTGACACGTGCTGGCCCTTAATGCTCTGAGTTTACTCTGCTGAGATTCAGACACTGCATGTAGCTCAGTGGACGTTTCACCAATGTGCTAAAGGTTTACTACGGTGGCCCATAAGGGACATGGAGTCTGTTTTTCCATATTTTGATATTTCACTTACATTTATCGTAACCTTTTGCAAATTAACACTTTTTGTCTTACAAATATGTGATAAATCATGTGTAAAGAAGATTTTGAATCGCTGAAAAACGAAACGAAAATGTCAAAAACTAAAATGAAAAAACAGAAAACTATTTCTACCGCGGTGATAATATTTACACCGCGGTGAAAACTATTTCTACCGCGGTGATAATATTCCCACCGCGGTGAAAACTATTTCCACCGCGGTGATAATATTTACACCGCGGTGGAAATATTATCACCGCGGTGGAAATAGTTTTCTGTGTATTCATTTTAGTTTTTGACATTTCGTTTTGTGTTTTTGACATTTTCATTTTAGTTTTTGACCTTTTCGTTTTGGTTTTTGACATTTCCATTTTAGTTTTTGACATTTTCACTTTACATTTCAGCGACTCAATAGCTACTTAAAAGTACATTTTCCATGTTTTCGGATGTTTTTATACATGATTTATCACATATTTGTATGGCAAATTGTGTTAATTTGCAAAAGGTTACGATAAAAGTAAGTTAAACATCAAAATATTGAAAAACAGACTCCATGTCCCTTATGGGCCACCGTAGTTTACACCCCGAGTCATGTAAAGGGGACGTTTCACCAACGTACTAAAGGTTTACACTCTGAGTCATGTAAAGGGGACGTTTCACCAACGTACTAAAGGTTTACACTCTGAGTCATGTAAAGGGGACGTTTCACCAACGTACTAAAGGTTTACACCCTGAGTCTTGTAAAGGGGACGTTTCACCAACGTACTAAAGGTTTACACCCCGAGTCATGTAAAGGGGACGTTTCACCAACGTACTAAAGGTTTACACTCTGAGTCTTGTAAATGGGAAGTTTCACCAACGTACTAAAGGTTTACACTCTGAGTCATGTAAAGGGGACGTTTCACCAACGTACTAAAGGTTTACACCCTGAGTCATGTAAAGGGGATGTCTCACCAACGTACTAAAGGTTTACACCCCGAGTCATGTAAAGGGGACGTTTCACCAACGTACTAAAGGTTTACACCCTGAGTCATGTAAAGGGGACGTTTCACCAACGTACTAAAAGTTTACACCCCGAGTCATGTAAAGGGGACGTTTCACCAACGTACTAAAGGTTTACACCCCGAGTCATGTAAAGGGGACGTTTCACCAACGTACTAATGGTTTACACCCCGAGTCATGTAAAGGGGACGTTTCACCAACGTGCTAAAGGTTTACACCCCGAGTCATGTAAAGGGGACGTTTCACCAACGTTCTAAAGGTTTACACTCTGAGTCATGTAAAGGGGACGTTTCACCAACGTTCTAAAGGTTTACATCGCGAGTCATGTAAAGGGGACGTTTCACCAACGTACTAAAGGTTTACACCCCGAGTCATGTAAAGGGGACGTTTCACCAACGTGCTAAAGTTTTACACCCCGAGTCATGTAAAGGGGACGTTTCACCAACGTTCTAAAGGTTTACACCCTGAGTATTATAAAGGGGACGTTTCACCAACGTACTAAAGGTTTACACCCTGAGTCATGTAAAGGGGACGTCTCACCAACGTACTAAAGGTTTACACCCTGAGTCATGTAAAGGGGACGTTTCACCAACGTACTAAAGGTTTACACCCCGAGTCATGTAAAGGGGACGTTTCACCAACGTACTAAAGGTTTACACCCTGAGTCTTGTAAAGGGGACGTTTCACCAACGTACTAAAGGTTTACACCCTGAGTCTTGAAAAGGGGACGTTTCACTAACGTGCTAAAGGTTTACACCCCGAGTCATGTAAAGGGGACGTTTCACCAACGTACTAAAGGTTTACACTCGGAGTCTTGTAAAGGGGACGTTTCACCAACGTACTAAAGGTTTACACCCTGAGTCTTGTAAAGGGGACGTTTCACTAACGTGCTAAAGGTTTACACCCCGAGTCATGTAAAGGGGACGTTTCACCAACGTACTAAAGGTTTACACCCTGAGTCTTGTAAAGGGGACGTTTCACCAACGTGCTAAAGGTTTACACCCAGAGTCTTGTAAAGGGGACGTTTCACCAACGTCCTAAAGGTTTACACCCAGAGTCTTGTAAAGGGGACGTTTCACCAACGTACTAAAGGTTTACACCCCGAGTCACGTAAAGCTGCACAAATAGAACAAAATAAGTGATCGAAGCGGCTTGAAAATCAACTCACAACTAACCAGATGCCACAATCATTCTCATCTCATTAAAATTAAAATCAGATCTATCGTAAAACAAAGATCTGGGGACATCCCATTATAGTTCACGTCGGCACGACCTTTCGCGAACTTTGACCGACCAATGAAATGACTAACCGGAAGTCGACATTAGCCAATCAGACAGCAGCTTTCTCGAGCTTTAAGACAATCTACTTGCATTCCTGACTACCTTTTGAAAAAATATTTTAACACAGTTCTCTATTCAAAATTTGAAACAAAAGAAAATTCTTGAATGTCAAAAAATGGCCGAAATTGGATGGCAATATTTCTCACGGGCTATGGAAATTCTCTTCCGTTTTCAATGCTTGTCAGACCGCCTCCGTGGTCTAGTGGTAGAGCGTCCGCCCGGGGAGAGGATGGTCCGGGGTTCGATCCCCGGCCGCGTCATACGAAAAGACGTTAAAAGATGGTACTTGTTGTTACCCTTTCTGGCGCTCGGCATTAAGGGGCTAAAACAAGGACTTGTCGCCTCGGAGTCAGAATACTGTGTCTAAGTGGGGTAATCAGGTTAAACTGCGGCATGGTATCTCAGTGAGCTAGCACTATAAATGGGCATCAGACCAGACTAGTACAAGCAGACACACATGCACGTCGCTATATAAGTGCAATAATCTTGGACGCGACGTTAAACCCAATTTCACCTCACCTCAAATGCTTGTCCCATTGTTCCAAGAGACAGAGTATGCTTTTGACGAAATCAGTCGTACAGGACCCGTGAAGATTCCGGGATAGAATAGGTCTTCAGCAACACATGCTTGCCGTAAAGGGCGACTATGCTTGTCGTAAAAGGCGACTAACGGGATCGGATGGTCAGGCTCGCTGACTTGGTTGATACATGTCATCGATCCTAATTGCGTGGATCGATGCTCATGATATTAATCACTGGATTGTCTGGTCCAGACTCGATTATTTACAGACCGCCGTCATATAGCTGGAATATTGCTGGGTGCGGCGTTAAACAACAAACCAGCCAACCAACCAACCAGTCGTACAGCCCGTAAATATCTTTCGGAAAACCCCTAATTAACCTTTTCGAGGTTGCAACGATCAGAAAGTTATCATATTCAGTTTCACTTTCACAATTTCGTAAGCAACGCTATGATTGGTCGGATGAAACATCTGACGTAACCTGCAATGGGATGTCCTCAGATCTGTGTGTAGCGGTAACGAGAACAAAGATGTGATGTTGATGACATTGCGATCCTTTCTGACCGCAATCTCTGGTTATCGCTGTTATCTGTAGACCACTTAGACCTAGCCACCTCACTGCAACACACTGTATACATGTACCACCCTGTGGTGAACCGCGGCCAGGTTACACAGGTGATAACGCCATGCTTGTGTACATGCCCATGCCATTCCCGACTGATCGGAATCCAAGAGCATTACACGAAGTCTGTTCCTAGTCTGCCAGTCATCATTACTCTCAAATTGCTTGAAGTTGAGTGCGAACTGTCGCAGTCAAACCTAGTGGATGCTAAATTATCGAGAAAGGTTTATCCGTACTTATCTTTCGTAGAAAATGATGACCTTGACTTTGATCATGATGTACTACATGCCCAGGTTTGTGGGTAAGCCTTCAGTCTCTTAGTGGAAGTTGGGGCGGTCGGATAGCCTAGTGGTTAAAGCGTTCGCCCGTCACACCGAGGACCCGGGTTCGATTCCCGACATGGGTACAATGTGTGAAGCCTATTTCTGGTGTCCCCGCTGTGATATTGCTGGAATATTGCCAAACACGGCATAAAACCATACTCACTTACTCTGTTATTGGAGGTTAAGTTTATTCGTTTTAAAGAGACCACACTATCACACATAATTTCTTCTAACTAGTGATGATAAATGATAAATCACGCTGTGTTTTCTCGCTTTACCGGGACTCTCATGTTCCGCTGAGAGTGAAATGACTGCGTGAGTAAGTGAATGATTTGGGTTTTAATGCCGCTTCAAACACTTTTTCAGTAAACCTGTAGCATGGCTTTATCAGCTTAAAGCGCAGGAAAGCCCAACGTGGTGTGTGAAGTTTGTGTGTTTGCTTTTAACGCCGCACTCAGCAACAGTCTGTAAAAAGTCGAGTCTGGACCAGATTATCAACTGATTGATATCGGTAACGATCCACACGGTCGGGGCACGGTGCGCGCAATTAAGACTACTCGATCCATTTCGTCACCTCTGGCCGAGGCATTGCCACGAGTGACGGTGTAGGTAGTAGCTATAGGTGATTTCTACTTAAATCAACAAGCAAGATATACGCTGACAAACCTATATATATTATGATTAAAACTGCATGGAGACGAATCTTGGAAGGCTATACTATGAAATGATGCACCCGATACGACTGTTCCATCTACGAGTTTTTTTAATGCTGATTCATCATTTTCCAGACATCATCGAGATTAATAAATGGAAATGAGCATATAAGAGAATTGCTTAAAAGATGTTCATTTTGGAGAACACTTAAATATGTACAAAGTATATATTAGCAAGACTTAGAATGACTTGGACACACTCGTACTGTGTCATATATTCATGTGCAACGTACAAGGCTAAACCTAATGTCGCGTATATTACATATTTATAAGATATAAATAAGTATACATAACGGGAAATACTAATTTCTGTTTGAGAACAAAATCCCTTAAAGAGAGTAAAAAGTATAAATTATTTTTTGTGACCGCAAGGCTAAAACAAAGGGAACATTTGACAATATTTTTATAAGTAAACATGTCATATGATACGCACACCGCAACCTATGTTCAACCTGTGGGAGCATGTGATATGCTAGATATTGACAACCATGTGACCGGCACGTGCTGACGCGGGTATATAACGGTGTATGGCGATAACCCTTCCTCTCCGTGTGGTTCTCACTGTACAGTCGACATGTCGAAGATTTCGCTGATCGCGTGTGTGCTTATGGCTGTTGGGGCTCTGGGACAGCTTCCCTCCCCGTGTGTAACGCCACCCCAGTTCACGGTCAGTACAGAACCCTTCTCCCACCCCCACATCCCCGTGTGTAACGCCACCCCAGTTCACGGTCAGTACAGAACCCTTCTCCCACCCCCACATCCCCGTGTGCAACGCCACCCCAGTTCACGGTCAGTACAGAACCCTTCTCCCACCCCCACATCCCCGTGTCTAACGCCACCCCAGTTCACGGTCAGTACAGAACCCTTCTCCCACCCCCACATCCCCGTGTGTAACGCCACCCCCGTTCACGGTCAGTACAGAACCCTTCTCCCACCCCCACATCCCCGTGTGTAACGCCACCCCAGTTCACGGTCAGTACAGAACCCTTCTCCCACCCCCACACACCCCGTGTATAACGCCACCCCAGTTCACGGTCAGTACAGAACCCTTCTCCCACCCCCACACACCCCGTGTATAACGCCACCCTAGTGTACGGTCAGTACTGAACCCTTCTCCCACCCTGTGTATAACGCCACCCCAGTTCACCGTCAGGACAGATCCTTCCCCTCCCCACCCTCCCCGTCTGCACCTATGATCACGGCCAGGACAGATCCTCCCCACCCCAACACACACACACACACACACACACACACACACACACACACACACACACACACACACACTACCCGTCTTTAACGCCATCCAAGATCAGTCAGTATAGATCCTCCCCTCGCCATCTCCCCGTGTGCAACGCCACCAAAGGTCACGTCAGGACAGATGCCACCCCCACCCCAATCCCCATCCTGACGAACATCATCTCTCGTTTCATTATTTGATAAAGATTCTGAACGTATTATTATTTCCATGGAAACTGCTTCACTGGCCATTGGCCTACAAATAAACATTCAGGTGGTCGCATACATCCTTCGTAATAGTCAACACTGCAAGTTCAAAGTACGTAACGCAAAGAAAGTCCTGACACAATAAGTGACTGTGATTTGTACAATTCTTTATTTACTGGATTTCGCTTTTGATGATTTAACCCCAATCTCGAGTACACCTAATTTGAACAAAGCATTTCTAAAACAAGGATTAAGCTTGTACATGTGTACCGTTATAGTAAAGTGTGTTTTTGCATGACATCACATGTGTAAAGATCATTTAGCCAGCAGGTAGATACAATCAGCTGTTAGCCAGGTGTGATATGATACTCAGGGGTCTAGTGTAACATGACACCAGGGTAACGGTAGTTGTTCTTATACCCTAAGGCCGTGAGCCATTGTTATATATACATTCTGAGTTATGTATGCTATGTATAGAACATCCGTGCAAGTGACGAATGTAATCAATCCACTTAATGTCCTGAGTAAGTGAGTGAGTGAGTGAGTGAGTTGGGATTAACGGCACTTTGATCAGTATTTCCGTAATATCACGGCTTGTCAACTTAATGTGGGAGGAGTGCTCACAGCGTTAGATGTTTACCGCACAGGTGAAACCCACGAGCACAGGTACCTGAAAACATGTGCAGGATTCGAACCCACGTTTCGGGCACGTTAAGGGATGCGAACTGTGGCGCCTTAGACGATTGGGTCTACCGTGCCCACTACTGATGCTCAAAGCTGCATACAACGATCTTTGTGGGTTTAAGAGACGACATTAAAAAAATAAAAAAATAAAAAAGGATCAAGTCCCTGGTAACGAAAGAGACATAATACATGCCTGCAAATAATTCATGAAGTCTGTGTGTGATATAGTCACTATCTGAATCCAGGTGCTAAGAAAGTTCAAAGGTGTGATGCTGATCGTTTGACCTCGTGTAAGACAAGAGATTAGATTATGCATGGACTTCGTCAAGTAGCATTGTGAATGGCCATATCAGGTGATGAATACCACTTACCCCTGATATTCGACTTTTCAACAGTAGGTGACATTGCGAGTAATAATGATTATTGCTAACTGACACACTTCACACTCTTCTGGTTTCAAAACGCTGTGCATTAGCTCGACAGAGCATCCGACACAGGCATTTGAAAATTACATTGAAAAAAGAGAGCTTTACTTCCATGACGTAAACGTTCATTGAGTATGCAAAATAAATTCTAACATACTTGCAATACAATTTTAAACTTTTAAACATTAATTTATTTTCTCGTGTTAACTTTAGTTTGGGCTCTCCTAGATATAAGTGCGTTAATCTTAGTTTAATTCATAGTGATTTTAGTGTTTCATTCTTTCAAATCTCCACCTCTTTCAGAATCAATAAAAGAAAACAGCGGTAGAACTTAACAACTGAAGTTAGTCCATGGTTATCATATTTTTGTCGAAATATAAATAAATAATAATTGTTAAACTGTAGTCGAGTCACAACTGCATGAGGGAATATATATAACTTGATGACTATTAACATTAAGTTATTACCATTACTGCGTCAGTTAGCAATAATCATTATAACTCGCCACTGTTGAAAAGTCGCCTGACGCCTTAATGGACATTTGACTGTGTGTATCTGATTCATAGTTTGTTGAAGATTTTACAAGTGCTTCCGAGGACTTCTTACCAGGTGTGTGCTGCTCACCTTCCTCTATGTACGACATGTTTCTTTACAGTTCCGGGGGATGGAGATCAACCACGTTGACGACGCGATTCGCCGTTTCATCATCGGCTACGACGCCACCAACAAGAGGAAGGTGATGTTCGAAGAGGAACGCGAGATCATCCCAGGCAGACAGTAAGTCCATGTCGGTTTCTGTCCCTGTCTGCCACAACCACCACCCCCCATCCCCCACTGCCTCTCACTCTCTCTCTCTCCTCAAGCCTCTCTCTTTCTCTCTCCAGTTTCTTTCTATTTCCTTCTCTCTCAAGCCTCTCTCTCTTCCTTCCTCTCTCTCTCCTTAAGTCTTTCTCCCTACAGTCTCTCCCTCATTCCATCCTCTCTGTCTCTCTGTCTCTCTCTCTCTCCCTCCCTCTCCTCAAGCCTATCTCTCCCTTTCTCCTCAAGCCTCTCCCTCTTCCTCTCTCTCCCTCCAGTGTCTTTCTCTCCCCCGCTCTCAACCCTATTCCCTCACTTTCTTCCTCTCTCTCCTCAAGTCTTTCCCTCTCCAGTCACTCACTCTCTCTCCCCACCACCCCCACCCCCATATATATATATATATATATATATATATATATATATATATATATATCCAAAGGGGTCACGTGACCAGCCCCTAATGCATTATGGTCGGAAATGACGTTTGGGCGTGCAGAGGCTATACAAGTGTATTGCCTGTCTTGTAGTGTTGTAACCTGCCCTGTACACGTTTTCACTATGCTGCTGCAGATATCACGAGTACCTGGTCCTCAACAACGATAATGTAGCCTATGACTTCAACATGAAGACCAAGGAGTGCATCAAGTCTGTGCCGAGGACGTGGAGGGACTTCGGAATCCCCCCTAACGCTACCTTCGAGAACGAGTACTACATCGGGGGCCCAGGGGAGGAGGTGTTTGCCCAGGAGTGGTCCGACAGGATCCCCTTCAGGCAAAGTGAGAGCTCCTGCTTACTGAACAACATGCGATAGTTAGGGACCACCCATTAGTTTTCCAGGGGTAGGAAGGTGGTGAATCTTTAATGGAGAATGGATATGTTTTTTTTCTGCGACAGCTTCAAAAGGGGAGCCGAATAAATATTGTCCACAACATATTTTTTTCCGGGTATCCATCATGGCCGGCGAATATTTTCTATTTTTGTTATTTGTTCATTTTTTTGGTAGGGAGTTGGGGATGCCAAATTTCTTTTAAATTTCCTTTTTTTCTGGAACAAAATAATTTGGATGAAACATTGTTTGCTCTCTCAGAAGAAAAGCATATTAAACACAAACCTCCTCGATGTTTCAGCTTCAAAATCTGCCTTGCATGTTTTAAACTTTGTACAAATTACGGCTACAGATTGTTTTAGACGCACAGCAGATAAACACATCTTGCACTGTAGCTCCTTTGATATCAACTTCTAGTTACCCATATCTAATGCTGGGCAGTTATTTTCCCCAAAAGGATATTATACGTTGCATAGTTACACGACAGATTAAAATGATATATGTAATTTTATTAATATTCTTGTTGATTCGTGTAACAGACCTGCAGGGTGCACCTGGAGTAATCAAAACAAAAAGATGAAAGTTATAGCGTGTGTTACACATAGAAGGAATTGTTGACAGGACCTCCATTCTGTTTGACTTTAATTCGCTGTACAGAGTTGTGTCCCTTAGCTGTCAGAATTGGCTAAATCCTTGTGATTATCCTTAAAGTGAGTGAGTGAGTATGGTTTTACGCCGCTTTTAGCAATATTCCAGCAATATCACGGCGGGGGACACCAGAAATGGGCTTCACACATTGTACCCATGTCGGGAATCGAACCCGGGTCTTCGGCGTGACGAGCGAACGCTTTAACCACTAGGCTACCCGACCGCCCGATTATCCTTAGAGTTTTTGCATCTACCACTGCTTTTTGGGTTTCCACCTGTGTATGTTGACTGCCCTTCCGTATTCCACAATGTTTTCATATACCTGAAACAATTAAACTGACTTGAAACGACTTGAATTTCCACTGAAAAATATACTTCAGTAGCGTGCTGCTATTGGCCGTGCAGAGTTATGTCCCTTGAGCCAGGGGTAGAAACCAATGGTCGTGGGTTCGAATCCTTCATTCGTCCTGATTATGTTTCTAGATGTGTCAGGACGATAACCATGCCCGTAAGACTAGCATCACATGGTCTATCACGCACTGAATCGAACCGAGACATTGGCGACTATGTTTGTCGTAAGAGGCGACTAACGGGATCAGGCTCGCTGACTTGGTTGCTGAATGTCATCGTATCCTAATTGCATAGATCGATGCTCATGTTATCAATCACTGTATTGTCTGGTCAAGACTCTATTATTTATATACCGCCGTCATATAGCTGGAATAGTGCTGAGTGCAGCATGGAACAAACAAACAAACAAACAAACAAACAAACAAACATGCAAACAAACAACCAACCGCGATACTTTGTCCACTGTCCTTCACCACTGTTTTAACCACCATGGGAACCATTTTTTCAGGGGAGATGTGGCTGGGGTCATTCAGTCTCAACAACTGCTACCCAATCCATTCCCTCATCATCGGACCGGAGGAGACTCCCAACGACACCGTCACCATGCACTTCTACGACATCGTCGCCGGTATCCCCGACCCCAACGACTTCATCCCCCCAACCGAGTGTCTGCAGGCTGCATGGGGAGTCTCGACCATGCCCTCATACTGGTAGAGGGCGCCACTAGACACCGGGAGTTACGTCCCTTAGGTGTATTGGTAGCCGCCATTCTCCGTTGTTTTGAGAGCTGTAAATGGTCCCGAGACCTGTTTATTTTTTAGATGTCAATTATTCTAATACATATATTTTATTTTACACAAGTTTGCCATTTGGAGTGTGCTATGAGATGTATGTTGCTGTGAATTATTTCCGACGTCATCACTTACTGAAGTAGTTATCTCCCTTTAATCCATTTCATGACCCTTTCTTGAAACAGTAACACAGGGACTTTATTTAAGGGGAGACAATTGACATCCGCACGTTCATCTGTAATGGCGCTCGTCACATGAAACATCTCACGTGTGTCTTTCAACCCATTTTCTTCAGTGCCAATTTCACTATTTATCTTTTAGTGTCTTCTAGTCGAAAACATTACATATTAATGGGAAAACTATTGCAAACAGTCATCAAGGGCTAGAACTGTGATAGTATTACACCAACTGCAATACATCCTGAGCGGTTCACACGTTCACGAACACGTATAATGGTTCACCGCGAGCACTCGAGCAAACGCACACACACACACGTTCACGTGACTGTCATGTGACGATCACATGACTAAGCTGGCAGGTACCTGTGCAATACTCAGTACGGAGGTCATTGAATTGACAAGTGTTTTGTTGATTAGTATTGATCATCTTGATTCGTAGATATACCTAGAGAGATCAAATTAATTTTTTTTTACAATATTTAAATAGTGTTGAAGATACATATATATTTCCGATTCATATTATAATTAGCAATCACATACCCCGCTTTGTGTCGCATCCCCAACCACGGCCATGTCCAAAGACTACAGGCAACTTTCGTATCTGTCTTTGACTGTCACTCATGACGTCAAACAAAACAATACCGATTGTTGTTTGTTTACCCTTGCTAATGTAGCCTGCCTATGCACCCTTGGAATGCATTTAGTGAAATCTGTGTACAAATGTGCCTTTTAATGTTGTTGTTACAATAACTATGTTCTACTTTCTCTAAGGAATAAAATATTTTCAGAAAACTGTTTTTATTTCCATCAACATTTGCGACTGTGAATCTTGTATTGCCATAAACAAAACAAACAATATATACATTGATGTCGGATTCTGATTGGCTGAGAGTGAGCGAGTGTGTGAGTATGGTTTTAGGCCGCTTTGAGCAATATTCTAGCAAAATCACGGCGAGGGACACCACATTGTATCCATGTCCGGATTCGAACCTCGGTCTTCGGCGTGACGAGCGAACGCTTTAACCACTAGGCTACCCGACCGCACCTGATTGGCGCTCGGCATTGAGGGGGTAACACAGGGACTGGTCGGCTCGGAGACAGTATACTGTGTCAGAATAGGGTATCCATGTTAAACTGCGGCATGGTGAGGTGAGGTGAGGTGAAATTGGGTTTAACGTCGCGTCCAAGATTATTGCACTTATATAGCGACGTGCATGCACGTGTATGTGTGTGTGTGGCTGCTTGTACTAGTCCGGACTGATGCCGATTTATAGTGCTAGCTCACTGAGATACCATGCCGCAGTTTAACATGAATACCCCACTCAGACACAGTATACTGACTCCGAGCCGACCAGTCCTTGTTTTAGCCCCTTAATGCCGAGCGCCAGACAGGGTAACAACAAGTACAATCTTTTAACGTCTTTTTGTATGACGCGACCCGGGATCGAACCCTGGACCTTCCGCTCTCCGGGCGGACGCTCTACCACAAGACCACGGAGGCGGTCCTCTGCGGCATGGTATCTCAGTGGGCTAGCACTATTAAACCGACATAGATCGGACTGGTACAAGCAACCACACACACGCACGTGCATGTACGACGCTATAACAGTGCAATAGTTTGAACGCGACGTTAAACCCCATTTCACCTCATCTGGTTATCTTCTTTCATTCCACATTGTTTGTTTGTTTGTTGTTTAACGCCGCACTCAGCAATATTCCAGCTATATGGCGGCAGTCTGAAAACAATCGATTCTGGACCAGACAATCCAGTGATTGACATCATGAGCATCGACCCAGGCAATTGGGATCGATGACATGCATCGACCAAGTCAGCGAGCCTGTCCACCCGATCCCGTTAGTCTCCACGGTTAGTCTATTCTACCCCGGATCTTCACTGGCCTGGAACAGAAATTTAAGTTACTGTTATAACTCGAAATATACAATATATATTTAACACCCTAACCTTAGTTTTTTGTTTTTAACTTACTTACTTACTTACTTATATTAGGGGATTTTACGTGCGCTTTCCGACTGGAGCGTATTTCGCACACGGTTGTTTTTAACAACTCGGAGTTTTTTTTATATCGATACCTGTACTGCTGATACACCATACAATAATGTGTGTTGCACGTGCGTTTGGTGTTTCATGTGCGGTGTTTTACGTCACAGACAACACGTGACCATGTATTCACAAGAGAAAGGAAATAGATGTAAAAAACGATGCGAATCCTTTATGGTTTTTTTTGTACTTTTGTAGATTGATATAATTTTATAAAATGTGAAAATAAAGACGAAAGCACTGACACAAATGCGATCCAGAAAATATACGAGACTTATGTGGATCGCTGTCGCGATTAAGAACATTTCTGATTTCGTGAAATCGTTGATGCGTTCTGTTTTCGAAGTGTCATTTCAATCACACAGTTTAACAAAATGAAATGTCAATTTAATGAAATGTCAATTTAATTTTTGAACGTAAAGAAGATTAATTGTTTGGCAAAATATCTATGGCAAAGTATACCGCCATTTTGGATGAAGATAAAATAAACTTACGACAGGTATGGGGTATCTTAGATTTTCGACAAACTTAAGATATCTTAGGGCTACGATAGTTTCGAAAATAGTCTACGATAGCCTACGATTTCCTTACGATAACTTTACGATAGTTTTAGGGTTTCACAAAGATGGTGGGTTACCTCCCTTACACAATGTGTGACAAGCACATATTTTGGTTGCATATTTCTACTCATCATTTCTCAATGCTTTAAACACTATACGTTCTAAATACATGTATTAATATAAGCGTTGAAAAAATGTATTTTAACGAATGGGAGCAATTTATTTGTTGATACCATTTGCGTATCGCTACCACGACGAATTCAAATTTAATATTCTTTTTATATAGGAAAATCGCATGTGTTTTTTTATATATCTTCTGCCATTGTGCTTGAGACAGAAGAGTGGAGCCATTGCAGTGGGTTGGCTCTGGGGAAATTAGTCCATCCTTTAATCGCTGAGACTTAACAATGCTTTTAAATATCAGATTTGGCACATGGCATTTGGATGTATATAGGGGTTTTATGAGATTTAATCCAAGGTAGGGTTTTATCCCAAGGATGAGGGTTTTAAATCTCATAAAAACCCGATGGTAAGTTTTTTATCTAACTGATAGACAGAAAAAAGAAACTTAAAACAACATTCATCAACATTTTTTTATGTTTCAAACATACTTACCATGAACCTTAGGAAACAGGCTTAACATATCTGTTGCTGGGATACGGTACCAAAAAAAAAATTCTTAAAAGCATAGTGATTTATCCGCTTACTTGTCGTCTAGCGGTACAATGACTAAAATGTTTTATTTATATTCCCGCGGATCGATCCGCAGGAATATAAAGAAAACATTTGTCATTAGATTTTACATTTCATAACATTGTGTTCAAATGCAAAATAAGTTTTTAGCGAGAAACATTGATATGTTACACTATAATTGTATTAATAAAATCCCCGGGATATTATAACATCCCTGTTTATGAGAATTAAACCACTAGAGAACAATAGGATGACGTCACTGTAGGTTTATAACTGTGCATGTGAACATAATGAGAGCAAATGCTGTTATAATCTGAAGACTGAGAGTTTATTGGTGACATTTGCCTTGGTAAGACTGTGATATTGCTAAACGCGACGTGTAACGTGCTCACGCCATTGCTCAAGGGTCTCAGTCCATTGCTCAAGGGTCTCACTTCATTGCTCAAGGGTCTCACTCCATTGCTCAAGGGTCTCACTTCATTGCTCAAGGGCCTCACTCCATTGCTCAAGGGTCTCACTTCATTGCTCAAGGGCCTTACTTAATTGCTCAAGGGTCTCAGTGCATTGCTCAAGGGTCTCACTTCATTGCTCAAGGGCCTCACTCCATTGCTCAAGGGCCTCACTCCATTGCTCAAGGGTCTCACTCCATTGCTCAAGGGTCTCACTCCATTGCTCAAGGGTCTCACTCCATTGGATAATGGCTGCGATCTTCGTCCAAGAAATCACTCATTAGTATGGGTGAAATAATGTATGAACTAAACTCACTCAAACTCACTTTGAGGAGACCCGTGAAGATCCGGGGTAGAATAGGTCTTCAGCAACCCATGCTTGCCGTAAAAGGCGATTATGCTTGTCGTAAGAGGCGACTAACGGGATCGGGTGGTCAGGCTTGCTGACTTTGTTGATGCATGTCATCGATCCCAATTGCGTGGATCAATGCTCATGTCGTCAATCACTGGACTGCCTGGTCCTGACTCGATTATTTACAGACTGCCGTCATACAGCTGGAATATTGCTGAGTGCGGCGTTAAACAACAAAGGTAAAAGTGAAGGTACACTTTGAGGACCGAGGCCCTGGAAACTCTGTCACCCATTCACCCGATTTGTGATCGAGCTGTGCCTTGTATACAGGACCATATGCAACAATGTGTACACGGTATACATTGCCAATATGCGATAATCCGGACATTTGTGAATCCGAACGATCTCGGAACAGTACTGACCAGACTTACGGGGTGTCACTGTATAGAAGTTCCATATGCCCAAAGGGGCACAGGTGGCCCCATCGCCTAAGGGGCCGCATTTCGCCGAGCTGAAACCTCTGATTGTGGGTTCGAATCCAGGTTCGCCCCGATTTTGTTTCTAGGTTTGTCTTCACCATTCCCGTGCTCGTGGGTTTCACCAAGAAGTAACTGTCTGAGATCTGCATCACTTCGGGATTTGCTCCCACAAGAAGCTGACACGACGTGATATAACAGGAATACTGTAAAAGCGGCGTTAAACCTCACTCACTCACTCGAATCCCGTTCACCCTGATTGTCATTCTAGGTTTATCAGCACCATAACCGTGCTAGTGGGTTTCACCAAAGTGGTGAACGTCTGAAACCTGCATCACTTCAGAATTTTTACAAGATTAATCTGACACGACGAGATATAACTGGAATACTTTTGAAAACAACATGAAATCCATCTCACTCACTCACATGCCTAAAGTCAATCACAGGAGTCAATTCAAAACACCGACTCTAAGTACCATTGCAAATAGCTTTGGCTAAGAAAATTCTGATTTAGTAAAAGTCTAAATGTAGCATTAGTTTTGGACCGTTATATACAACCGCAATGTGAGTGAGTGAGTATGGTTTTACGCCACTTTGAGCAATATTCCAGCAATATCACTACGGGGGACGCCAGAAATGGCCTTCACACATTGTACCCATGTCGGGAATCGAGCCCGGTTCTTCGGCGTAACGAGCGAACGCTTTACCCCCTGGATGCCACAGGGACATATATGTCTCTCATCTTCAATCCTCACTTTCAAGTCGAATAAAATTCAAAATACATCACCTACACAAATACACATCACAGTTTTGAATAAGGTGGGAAATTCCCTGTTCTGTGACATCATCCACTGGCATTTTAGGCCAAGCAAAACTACTGAAAATGACCTCTGAAAATTAGGTACATCGTAAATATCGCCATTTTTTACACATTACTAAATCACCACTCGCGGTCCTATTTACAGCATGTTTTGAAATCTAAATTTAGGATATTTACTCGGAGAAATGGATTTCAAAAATAGCATATTAGTGATCACGGGTATCTGTCTTTTATGAAATCACCAATGATCATTCCAAAACGTCTCCGATAACCCTAGAATCGTTTAGAATGTTTTGGAGTTACAATAAACTATTGATAAGTATAGCGGAGTTATGCCCCCTTTTCTTTGTACGCGTGTAACCTCTCTGTCGCGTTTTGGCGTC